TTTTTGCACTTAAAATTTTACCATGAATTCTGAAGACAAATCAAACTGAATCATCATCATTAAGGAAAATGGAAAATGTGTATTTTCAGTCATCTACCTTCTAGCATACATTCCATAGTTCCACTCTATTTTAAACTCTTATCTTAACTCCTTTAATACTGTTCTAACTCTACTCTGCTTTTTAACCATGGTTGTTAGACAATATTTATCACTTATGCATATATTTCTTTTTAGAATTTATTTTCTTTCTTCCTGAGGTATAGCCATTAGCAGTGACTCTGATATTAACAGTAAATTCTTTTTCAGTTTCAATTTTATTTGCTCAAAACTGTTTTAATTTGCCCTAATTACTGAAGATAGTTTTGCTGGATACAGAATTCTAAATCACAGTTATTTTTCTTTAGCCATTTGAAAGTAATTACAAGTTGACTGACTTTAAAGCTGAGAAAACAGTTTGATTGAAAAGTCACCTGTCCAAAAATTGTCCCCAAGTTTCTGGAAGACTGATTAGATGGATGTTAGAATTCCCTTTAATACCTGTGTATGTTTAGTTCTCTGTTAGATTTTCCATCTCTTTATCCGGCTCAGTGCTGCCTTAAGATCTGTCTGCCAGCTCATTATTTCTCTTGTTCTTGGTATCAAAACCAATATTCATCACATCCAATAAAGCTTAAAGATTTTTCTTCTTAGATGTTCTATTCATTTAAAATACTTTTAGACTTAAGTTTTTATTCTTTATAAAAATCACATAAAATATGCTTACTTATATTCTATATCCAATAATTCAGTAAATAAGGCCTTTATGAGTTTGGTGTTATGCTTTTTTATTTCTTAGAACTCTAATGGTGCTGTGTTTGTACCTATATTGTGATGCTTTTTGTTTTGTTTTGTTTTGTTTGTTCCTTTAGTGTTTTTGTTTTTGTTTTGGTGTAAGCTTATATTTTCAGTGGGTGTTCCTTGAGTCCTAGGTTGAACGTCAAGTTCCAAAAGAAAGTTTTTGCATTTGCTTCTCCCAAATGCTTTTTCAACTTCACTAATCAGATCCGAGACTTTTAAAAGTTAAATTTATGCCATGACTGCACATGAGTATATGTGGATGTGTAGATGCCGTGCATAGTGTGACTTTTAGTTACACGTTTATGTAAAGGCTGGCTCATGATTACTAATTCCCAGTGATATTTTCCTCTTCAGTCCAGAGCCAAGACAAACTTCCTTGGTGTCTGGCCTTTCCTCATTTTCTAATTAATGTTAAGCTTTCTGATCTGAGCTCCTGCCCTCCATAGACCTAAGGCTTTGTCTCTTGCCCCATGGAATGGTCATTGAAACCAAAGTTCCAGGCTAACAGAAATCAGAAAAGGCTACTAATGGAGTATTCATTTCTCGCTTGGACGTGTGTGTGTGAGTGTGTGTGTGTGTGTGTGTGTGTGTGTGTGTGTGTGTGTTGGAAAAAGTGAAAAGTGTAGAGATATGTAGTCTAAGCTATCTTACTGCCCTTACACCAAAGTTTGAGAATTTTTCTCCGACTTGGCTCTTTCTGTAGGTACCTGAAAGAAAATAAATACTGTCCAGCTGTTTAAGTAAGTTCTACTATATTTCACTGTATAGTATTATCTACAATGAACTGGAAAAAAATATTGTTTATGTCCCACTAAACCCTTGGGTTAGGTCCTGCTTCCAGACTACTTCTCGAGGCTCTTTATGCAGTATTATCTATTTCATTCTATTCGCTGTAATTTGCAGAAGTTGAGGCTCTATCATATCAACCCATCCCCTACATTGACCTTTCAGTACTATATTTTTTGAGATGGAGTTTTGTTCTTGTTGCCCAGGCTGGAGTGTAATGGTGCCATCTCAGTTCATGGCAAACTCCACCTCCCAGGTTCAAGTGATTCTCCTGCCTCAGCCTCCCAAGTAGCTGGGATTGCTGGCATGAACCACCACACTCGGCTAATTTTGTATTTTTAATAGAGGTGCAGTTTCAGCATGTTGGTCAGGCTGGTCTCAAACTCCTGACTTCGGGTGATCTACCCACCTCAGCCTCCCAAAGTGCTGGGATTACAGATGTGAGCCACCATGACTGGCCCAAAATCGATTTTAGGCTGAGTGCCTTAGTGAATTTGAAACAGGAATGCAAAAGTTAACATACATGCTTTTAATTTTTGAAATTTCTGTGTAATTTTAAAAGGCTACATCTGATGTGACTTTTCCTGTCTTTGAAATCTCTTTCAAACAGCTTTTAACAAATGTCACAATAGAATTTAAAAATTTTGCAGAGGCTTTGCTAGTTTTTAAAAAATGTTAACTAGGATATAGCATCATTTTCTACTTAAATGACCTTTGACACTTACTTTTTATACTTTCTCTTCAATTGTGATCTTAAATAAATTTAATTAAACGCAGATGTATACCTGTATAGCAACAATATATATGCTTTATCAGCAAAGGTATCTTCACTTCTAACTTAAAGCAGACCACAATAAAAATTGTGAAAGAAAAAACAGGTAATCCAAAATGGAAATTAGATAATAGATGGAGCACTGGACTGAACAGTTATAAGATAGTTACTTGAATTTGGGAATGAGGATTTCTTCTGCCTTGAATGGAACTGCAACATAAGCTAATTATTCATTGTAAATGTTGTAGGAGATGATATCTGCCAGCTTGTAAAGTACCCAGTAGCGTCTGGCTTGGGTTTGATGATGATGATTACAGGGATTATAAAATGACAGTCCTTGATTGGGCAAGAAAATAATTTTGGATTTTCTGACTGTGTTTTCCTTATTTCCTTAGTTTAATGTAGACTATTTTTCCCTTAGTTTTAAAGAACTTGAGTATTTATGATTTATGCCCTTCTATTTCCAAAAAGGATTATGGTCACTTTACAAAGTAAAAACAAGTATAAAGCAAAAAAATTAAAACTAAACAATCTAAAACGTCAGTACATCATTAACTAAAAAGACTCTAATGAAGACCTGTTAAAATAGGCCAAATTACTCTGGTTTCTGGTAATAGCTTGAGCATCACCAAGGTAATACCAAGAGTTTACTGTAAAAGTTGTTAGAAAATAATGTGACTGAGAATAAGTGCATATTATACACATATGTAATTTTAGAAAATGCAAAAACACTGATGCCAATCATTTCCCTTCTTATATAGAGAAGAAGAAATGAGGTATTTCCCCATTCTAATTATTTTTTGCTATTTTTAAAATTTATTGTTTGAACAGATTAAGAAAATCTTTAATTCATGGATTGTTGCTTTGCACATTTAATAGCGAGATAATTGTTAACAACAAAAACAATTTTGGCAATTAAGAATAACAAAGAATCATGATCCACAAACACTTCACATTTGATAAATATTGTTATAATTTCAATTTATGATATACTTACATTTTGTATTCCTTTTAAATAAAGAACCAAATCAAGAACAGCAGAAACTAGCATCCATTTAATATATTTTAAAATATGGAAATATATTTAAACAGCACATTTAAAGAATAAAATAGACTTCTATTTCTTATTCTCTCAATGGTACACTATTAAAAATATATTACTTAATGTACCCCTCAATATAGTTAGTCAAATTTTCTTTAAAATGTATTTCAGAACAACATTCCAATATTCCTGAATTACAAACAAAGCTATAACATTTTTGGAGACATTTTTGATGTAAATTTTGTTTGAAAGATCCTAAAGGATGATTAATAAATGGTGCTTTATGATTACTATAGATTAACTGTCAATAAGCCTAACCACAAAGTCACCATAAATAGCAAGTTATCAATCTAAAGATCATTCTTCAAAAAGTTAGTGTGTGTTACAGAAAGGCCTTAGAGGGCATTCTAATAGATAGAGAAAATAAATTAATAATTTTAAAGGGAAGAACACACACAAATACACAGACACAGAAACCAGAACCTTCCTGTTTGGAATTATTTGTGCTTGGAAGAAGGTTTACAAAATCTCTTTACAAAATAAGGTTTTCATTGAGCTCACTCTCAAAGATATGAAAAATGAATTTCAGCTGTTCTTTAGAAATGGCAATTCTGTCAAAGCCATTCTGGGACTTTAGGTAATTTCCTCCAGTTTAGTTTCAGTGCTTTTACTCCTAAATAAAATCCCTTGCATCACATCAGTCAGCAAACTCAGTTACAAAGGAAAGCTAAAGAAATGGCTCTGTCGGCATCTTCTGCTCTTGTACATTTTATGCATGCAGGGATTCTTGCCTGTGGGGACGAAAGTGGAGCACATGTAAATGTTTCTTTATTTTGGACTAGGTTTTTAAATCTGAAAAAAAAAAAAAAAGTCTGCAGCAGTAGTGTTCTAGATAATAGGCAGACATGATTTATTTGAGGTAAGAAGGTTGTACTACAATTAATGTTAACTTGGAACACTACGGACACAGGCTCAAGCCTGTCTGCTGAAGCTTTGAGCTCTTTGCAAAATCTACGCTCCACAAGCCAAAAAGGAACATGCTCCTACAGTTACACCAGTTCTGTTAAAGCAAACAGTTAAAACAATTATGTGCAATCTTTCAGCTTCTATGTTCTGCCTACCGTTTATTTATTCAAATCCAGTTCAACATTTCACTCTGTCTAATGAAGCAGGAACTCTAAAAGAGAAATTGTATTTATCCAAGCATTTTTGTTTGGGTTGTTACTTTTTTAAAGTCTTATTTCTAAATAAATATCCTATCATGGTTTCCATTGGCACAATATAACTAAACGTATTCAATTTCCTTCCACAATATTAAACAGTCAAAGGACTTCTGTCTAATCTCATAAAATTGTATTAGAAAAAATGTTGAAATGGAATTGAATGGACTCAGCATAACCCATGGAAAATTAGACTAGATGATCTATTGTATAATGTAGTTGCCTAGAAAGTAGGTTTTAATGATAAAGCATCCTCAAAAGAGAATACATACCTTTAAATAAATAAAAATGACTATATACATGATGTTGTACATAGGAAAAGAGTCAAAATGAGCCAGACAAATTTTAGGAAATTCCCCTTTTGTCTGAAAGTATGCTTTTTATTGCAGCCATAAATCTTAATACAGATCTTTTTATTATTATCAATATTTAATATTAGTGGCAGCCACATGAGCGTACTACCATATTTCTATATTTTTTCAAAATGACATTGGAGCTGTCATCAAAGTATAGAACAGAGATGGCATTTAATTTGGTTGGAGCACAACAAGGCTTTGGTACGTGGTCAGGAAACATCAGATGAACCTGGGAAAGAAAGAATGCTTTGTTTTATTAAATAAAATACACGTTTTTTTTTTTTTTTTTTTTTTGCAATTTTACAATGATATGCTTATCACTCACAATCAGGCACACCGTTAAGCCGATCGCCCTTCTCCCATTTATGTTTGATGATGGGAGTGGGAGACTGAAGGATGTATTCTTAAGCACTAACATCTAGAATCAACCCACCCATTTCAATTATGTGTTATAACCTTGAAAAATATCTCATCAAATAAAGAAAACTGCCTCTATAGACTATCCAGTGGAAGATTTCCTAGAGAAAGTACACAGCAGCTAGCGCTTTGTTGCTTTTAGTTGAAATGACTATTTCTATATATATCATGAGGAATATGGAAGTTATAAGTGCAAATCAATGAAAACACATAGTTGACTGCGGAAAGATTTGGATCTAAGACTTATCTTTTAAAAGGAAAATTAAATAATCAAATTTTATGCCAACTCTTAATTTTCCATGGTAAAAGAAGCAAAAAATATATAAAATAAAATCCAGATATAATCCAATACTTGCCTTAAAGCAATGATTTCAACTCTTCACAGAATTTTTTATCACATTGGCTGGAGTTTAATATTCATTTACTTGTTTTCCTCTCTTGCCCACCCCCTAGACAAGTGCCAGAAAGCAGGCAAAGCTAAATCAGAAGCAAAGGGGCCTAAAGACTTTACAAATTGAACATTCACCTCCCCAAAAGCCTGAAAAGGTGTCCGTACATGAAACGTGAAATACTTAAGTAAAGGGTTGATACTAATTTTGATCAGACTGGCAGTCTGCCTATGATTTGAAATAATTGAGCCAAGAGCCAGAACACACTTCCCCCCTTTCCCACCCACCTATTCTGGCCCTTCCCCCAGAGGAGTTTATGGGAAATCCCACTGATGAGTCTTACGGGATCTACAAAAAGCAAATACAGCCTCTTACAGTTTTGGCTGTACTATGTGCTGGCTGAAATGATATAGGAGCCTTGCATGTGGACAGAAACGGCAGGAAAAATGAGGTGATCCGACATGAACTTGAAATTTCCTAAGACCTCACAAAACTAAAAGTTGGATAGTTTCTATAAATTTCTGATGTAGCTTATGTCCTTCATCAGCTTTATCTTCCATAACCCACACATACATGATTGATAATCCTGCTGTTTCAATGGCCTTGGCAGCCTACCGAAAAAATGGATTGTTCTTGAACGGTTTCTCAATATATTAGTCACAAACACGCTTTCCTCTGTCTTCTTGTTTCATGTCCTTCACAGAACAAACAGAAAGCATGCACAACACCAGGGAAAAAAATCTAACTTCCCATATCAGCTCCAGTTTTCCAGTGACTTATGTCCCACAACCAAGGGTGGGGATGCAGAGAGTTCCAAGTTTGTGTCAGATTTTTTTTTTATGTTTGTTTTTTGATACTTCAGCCATAAGAGCCAAAAATATGTCATTATTTATTTATTTTACAAAAGAAAAATGAGAGATATGAGAGAAGGGAGGGTATTTGACAAAGGGTATTTTTCAATAAGTAGACACTGCTTAGCCTGAAGGAATATTTGATGCATTAGATCCATATCTAAGGAAGCAAAAATCTGCTTTCCTACTCATTGAAATGATGATAAAAAGAGGCAAAGAACTTTCTGAGAAATTAAGTAGCATTATTCTTTGACCTTACAGAAAGACAGCGATCATGAAGTTCTCATCAAAGGGTGAAACAACAGCATGCTTCTTTATCTGATATACTTTCATGTGAACGTGAATTCTCATATACAAACAGGAGAGTTAACTTCTTAGAGACTGTTTTTAGTGGTAGAAGTTTGAATGCAAAACATCCATGCTTGCAAGGCCTACCTACTCCGCATACTCCTGGAAACACTAACCCATAGAAAGAAGTGCTTATATTTATAGACAGCAAAGCTGAAGTCATATCAGACCTTAAAATCCCCCCAGGATTTTACTCTATACCTTGTATATGGCAGTAAAGTAGACAATCTCACTGGTCATGAATCAATAAAAAGAACATTTATGAATCACTTCCTATCAAAATGTATATTTGCTTTATCTTTCTATTTCTAGCCCAAAGTTATTTCCAACTTTGACAGTGCTCATGTTCCAGTTGTTACAGATGTGTGTTTTTTGGTATCCAGCCGCTATTGTGTACTATTTTATGAAGTCAATAAAGATGCCAGCAAATAGCAATCATTCAAGTATTTAATTTTATCAGTTCATATATATCACTTTTTTTATCAAGAAGGAAACTGGACTATTCCTTACTTCAGCTTTAAATTAATTGTGGGGGAAAAAAGCAAACTTCTAGGGAGTCAAATCTTCACAAATTCTAAGAGTAATTCTTTCTTTTTCCATAAATAAGCTTCACCCAGAAAGATAGGTTTTTCTGCTATCAACTTTTCTCTTACTACCATCCACCAAGTAATTCCACTCCCATCAAGCCTTGATTCTAAAATAATGTGTTATGTTTCATTCTTCTTAAATACAAAAGTTAAAATTTTTATATTAGCCCAAACATTAATTTAAAATTGTATCACATAGTCTGGGATGTCTTCTAGAACCTGTCATTTAGTCTTCTGGACATTGTTCCTTTGCCATATCACGAGGCCAGATACTATGAGGTTCATCAGACTCTCAGGTGGCTTCATGAGCTCATCAGGTAGAATGCAACCCGTTAATCAAGTCAACCCTGCGGTACCCTATTCATAAAAATAAGCCTAGGTTATTAGAGATTTAATCACTGCTAAGTTTCAGAGATTGAGGAAGAAAGAAAAGGAAGTATAATTTCTACTTTAAAGATACAGGAGAAGGACGAGGAAGAAAACAATAAGAAATAAAAATTAGTTTCCTATTTGTATACTGCATTGAAGGATTTTTATAATACCAAAGTATGTTATAGAACATTCTTAAATAATTAAAGTAAAAACCCTCAGATGAAATTTAGTACAGCTATGACTCAATGTTTTTGCAATGATTAGTAACGAATTGCTAGGTTAGAAACAGCCCCAGGGAACCTGTGTGCTTAGTCATACTGCATAGTGAAGAAACAGTTCAGGATGACCATTTCATGTTATTACTGCAGTTTTCCTAGCTGAATCTTTCCTCATTGTGTAATTCCGACTACTCTAAACCAGCCTGGGTTTCCTGACTATACTCACAGTTGTCACTTCAGCTCCAAAAAGAAACAAATAAGTTTGAGAATATAAAATAATGCATTAATAATTGTAAATAGATGCGTTCCTCCAAAACAACGTTATAATGTGTTTGCATGCTAAGCTGTTTTCAGTTCTGCAAAAACAAAGCTTACCAGAGTCTGAACTATAGCATGGTTGGTGGCATTCATATGGGCGTTAAGCGGAAAAGAACATTCTCCATCACAATAAAATGCAGCATATCCTTCTGGTGCAATAATCCAGTCCTGACACACACACATAACAAGAAAAAATATCACCAAAGTAAAAATTTTAAAAAATTCTTAAAAATTACTGAAATACATTTTATCTGAATAGGTTTACATTATTGGTCCAACAATTATTCTAATAGAATAACCCTTTCCCCACATCTTTAAATTTTAAGCTGAAGTTTACAACAAAGCCGTACATATTTTCACAAGAAATTGTTCTAATTTCTCCCAAGAGGTAGTTATGTGGAATATTCATAGTAGGTAATTAAACATGTATTCATGAGTAAAACCATTATAAGAAAATAGCATTCTAAATATTGTTTAAACAGGAAATGATGAACTCTGAAAAGTTCAAGTGAACCCGAAAGAGAAGAGACTTAATTGAGATCATTCTCATTACTTCTTAATAACTCAGTTTTAGAAGACTGACAACATCCTAAACCCTTGATAAATTTTCTGCATGCTGTTTTTCTTTCCATTCATGCATTTATTGTCTCTTTAGGAAAAATGAATTGGAGCAAATTCCTAAAAACTGAATATGAAAAATTTTGGGAAGCTAAAGAAGTGGTACATGAATGGTTGCCTTAATATTTTCCCCACAGAGAAATAAAACTTGGCACAAATGTAAGAATTATTGAGTGATTCATGTTGAAAGTTTATCAGAAACTTTGAATATATTTATTATACTTCAAGTGCTGGGGTCCATGTGCGGAACATGCAGTTTTGTTACATAGGTATACATGTGCCAAGGTGGTTGGCTGCAGCCATCACCATGTCATCTACACTAGGTATTTCTCCTTATGCTATTCCTTCCTTAGCCCCCCCACCCCCTGACAGGCCCCGGTGTATGATGTTCTCCTCCCCGTGTCCATGTGTTATCATTATTCACCCATTTATGAGTGAGAAAATGTGGTGTATGGATTTCTGTTCTTGAGTCAGTTTGCTGAGAATGATGGTTCCCAGCTTTATCCATGTCCCTGCAAAGGACATGAACTTATCCTTTTTATGGCTGCATAGTATTCCATGGTACATATGTGCCACATTTTCTTTATCCAGTCTATCATTGATGGGCATTTGGGTTAGTTCCAAGTCTTTGCTAGTGTGAACAGTGCCCCGTAAAGATACATGCACATGCATTTTTACATTTTAGTAGTATTTCTCAATATGGGAGCTCATACATGAGAATTCTTTGTAATAGAATATTAGGAGAAGTCTTAACATTTCAATTTAAAGTGTAACCACACAGAGCCATTAAAAATTAATTTGGTGAAATTTTCCTCCTCATCTTGTTTGTAAAGACTATCTAAAAGATAGCAATATAATTTTTAAGTGCAAGAAAATAAAATTTCTGTACATCTACCCCATGACAGGGACATTAGAGTTGAGGGCTCTATTTCCTAGGTCAATAGTTGATGACCCTCTGGGGTTTTGTGGAGTTACTTACACTAATATGAACAAATCTTCTATTTATAATAAACTTTGGAATACTTAAACAACAGCTCTCTTTTTTTCTTCTTAAATATCATAGTGTTCTATTTCTTACTCAGCATAGGTTTTGTGTGTGTGTGTGTGTGTGTGAAACCTACTAATCATGTTTCAATGGTAAAAGGTTAATTAAGAAATGAAAATAAAGTATGTAAACCATATTCTATATGGTCATGTCAAAAGTCATTGGGTATTATATTGGAAAATCAATGCCAAAGACTATGACTTCCTAAATATTTATGATAATGCAGAAAAGCAGCATCAAAGTTGACCAAAAATTCTTACCTGCCATCCCAGATCCCGAAAGCTCACATAGAGTTCATGCTTCTTACAGGCTTGTTTTTGCTCACTTGTGTTAAAATCTGAAGATAAATACCACATTTTAAATAAATAATTGTTTACCAGATATACTAATATTTCTGTTGTGAGATAACTGGTAAGACTTTTTAAAGGAGTTTTATTTGAAGTTGTGGAACCTGAGTTTCATTCTTAAAGCTCGAACTTCTTAGCAACCATGTGAACTCCAGTCAAGTAATTTGTACAGAGTTTCTTCTTCTGTGAGATGTAGACAATACCATTTACCTTATGAAGCTCTAACAAAGATTCTATTAGGCCAGCTACATGACAGGGCACAGCATGGAACCTGCCATTCATTGAGTTCCATCTGCTCAATGAATGCTTATTCCTTAATTCATTCATACTCTAGTGGTACTTAATACATACATTAAGTTGAGCTTCTAACCATCCCCCAAAATCCTGTCCACCTGTAGACTTCATTCTTGACTGATAATAGTTGCCTGGATTAAAAAACAAACCAACAAAAAAATCAAAGCAGTCATCTTTTTTTTCTTCCATTTACACATCCAATCTGTGAGGAAATCTCACACACTATCTTCAATATGTCCAAAATGCACCTGCTGTCACACCCTTCATAATTGGTTTTGGCCCAAGCCACCATCATCTCTGGCGTGAATTACTGCAATACCTTTATTGCTATTCTCTCGGCTTCTGCACTTGCTCCTCTACAGCAAACTAGTCAAGTGGACATTTTAACAAGTAAACGTAATTACAGCACTCCCCTACCAGTCCCTCTGTGGTCCTCATATCACTAACTGAAATATTCTGAGAGTGTTTAGAAAGCTCTATGCATTTTGTACTATTACCCCTCAGACTCATTTCCTGTCATTCTTCTCCTTCTTCACTTTGATCCAGCCACAGCACCTCCTTGCTGTTTCACTCACAGTCAGCCTTGCTCCCACTTAAGAGCCTTTTCTCTCACTAGTCCTCTTCCTGGTTAGCTACATGGCTAATTCCTGCATCTTCATGTCCTTGCTTAAGCATCCTCTCAACAAGGTCTTCACTACCCTTTTAATATTGCAGCTCTCACCCTGATACACTTGATTTCTCTCACTTTGTTATGATTTTTTTCCATCTCAATTACCACTTTTAGAAATGTGATTCCATTTCTTCATTTATTTATGCATTGTTTCTTATCTGTTTCCTCCCACTACAATGTAAGCTTCATAAAGGCAAGGATCTCATTTGGCTCTTTTTTGTTCACTGATGTATCCCTAGTGCCAGGAACAGTGCCTGGAGTACAATAAACATTCAAAAAAAAAAGTATCCGAGGAGCTAACTGACAAATTTCTCATTGTGTTCCACCAGTGATTTGAGGCAAGTGAAATACTGTCATTACATACTTCGGAATATAATCTGAAATACCCATAACATTTTATAATTGTTTTAAATGATTAGGTATAAATACAGAATTTCAATCTTGCATCTAGAATAAAGTAAAATACTGAAGAAACATAGAGATTTATGAAACATTTTTCATTGTTGTCTTATCTGGGGTTTGCTCACATGTTGTACAAATAACATTAGAAAAACTAGCCCACTCTGATTATTTCTAATATAAAATATGAAAGAAATAAAGTGTCACCTTTCAGTTTAACTACTTTCAACCTCTAATGAAAATATAGGCATATTAGAGCTCAAAGGAGCCCATCATAGAAGGCCTCACATTTCCTGGTTACTTCAAATAATGATTTGTTTAACGTTACTCTACAAAACAAGCTAAATTAAATTTTGAAATCAAGGTATTTTTCTAACTTCTAGGTTATTTATTTCTACTGTGCAATTACCTTCATTAAAACTGATTAAATAAGTTGAGAATGGGAAATAGAGGAGAGAGAATTTATTTCATCTTCTACACTCCATTTCTTCAGGGAAATATCTCCCTTGGAGCTAAGTTTGTTCAGGGAATGGGCAAATGCTCTTCAACACTAAACATGAAATGGATAATTTTCCTCCATCATTTTTAGAGAAAAGAAGTAATTGATTCTACTATTGGTTTGACTTCATAAACTCCTTGATATACAAAATTTTAAAAAAATGTTGGCTATGCAATGGACCAGGAGTCAGCAAACATTTCTGGTAAAGAGACAGATAGTAAGTATTTTAGGCTAAGTGGTCTCCCTGGCAACTACTCAGCTTTGCTGCTGTAGTAAAAAAGCAGTCATAGACAATATGTAAATGAATGGGTGTGGCTATATTTTAGTAAAACTTTACTTATTGATACTAAAATTTGAATTTCATGTGATTTCCACATGCTGCAAAATATTGCCCTTCTTTTTCAAACAAACATTTAAAAACGTAAAGATTACTCATAGCAGGTCATACAAAAACAAATGATAGACCTAATTTGGTTATTGGACCTTACTTTTTCAAACTCTGCATTAGATAATGAAATTTTTATTTATTTTTGTCTTAATTAAAAATATTAAATATGAATAACAATACTGTAGCCAATAATACATACATGTTTATATGAGAATCCAAAAACTACAAATAAGGTTATTTGAATTCTATGTTTATAAAAAATAAAACCTAAAAGTCAAAAGATTATCTGTTCTATATTATATATATATATATATATATATATATATATATATATATATATCTTTTAATGCAGACTAAGTGATATATATAACATCACATAAATGTAACAAGCAATGAAATTTATAACCAAATCTGGTTCCAAGAGTCTGATCTCATAGAGCATTAGGATCATGTGCTTATTCTGTCAGAAATAAAAATTAATGGATAGTGAGTGAAGTAAATGTTGTACCCAAACTAGCAAAGCCTGCAGTTAGGTTGACTCTAAATGCTTGGTGGAATTATGCTGCGAGAGGAAGGGCGAGAAAATTAGATCTATGTCTTTTAAAATACTGATGGGCAGCCTTTAGGAGATTAATATGAAATGGATATAATTACACTGTTAATGAATCTGCCTACAAATGAAGAGTCATCGCATAAATTACTAAAATGTTCTTCAGTCCACACTAGAAAAGTAAGCTGACATGCCTTATCTCTAGTGCAGGTGTTATCAATAATATTTCTGTTTTTTCTCTTAATGGTAATAATATTAGGAAGCCAATGCCAAATAGTAAAAATATCACTAAAAACTTTATGCAAATTTCTTTGTGGTCCATTTCTAGATATTGTATAAATTTAACCTTTCCTTTAGTTTGAATTTCTTTAGTTTGATTTTTTTTTTTGCCTTAGAATAAAATTATGAAAAACAAAATAAAATATGTGGAGGTAAAAACTGGTAAAAACAAAGAAAATCCTGAATGTGAAGCAAGAGGAAAACTAGTACGCTGTTGGTGGAAATGTAAATTAATACAACCATTTTTTGAGGTTCCTCCCAAAAGTAAAAGTAGAGCTACCATATAATTTAGCAATCTCACCACTAGGTATATATCCAAAACAAAGTAAATCATATTGAAGAGATATCTGCATTCTCGCATTGATTGCAGCATGGTTCACAAGATACAGAAGCAACGAAGTGTCCATCAAATGGATGAATGGCTAAAGAAAATTGATATGAACATACACAATTGCTTATTATTCAGCCATAAAAAGGATGAAATGTTGTCAGTTACGGCAACATGGATGAAACTGGAATATGTTAAGTCAGATAAGCCAGGCACAGAGAGACAAATATCCCATGTTCTTAGTCATATGTGTAAGCTACATAAATGATCTCATGAAGGTAGAGAGTGAAGTGGTGGTTGCCAAAAGCTGGGAATGGTTGCAGGAAGAGGGGATAAAGAACAGTTGGTAAATGGACACAAAAATACAGTTAAAAAAAAAAAACTGATAGAAGAAATCAGTTGTTGTGTTCAGTAGCACAGTATGGTGAAAATGGTTAACAATAATTAACTCTACATTTCAAAATAACTAGAAGGCAATGGTTAGAAAATGTTCTCAATGTAAAGAAATGATAAATATTTAATGGGATGGATATCTTAATTACCCTGATTTGATCATTAGACATTATATATATATAATTATATATATATAATTATATATATATATATCCAAATATGACATGTACTCCATGAATATGTGTAATTAATGTATCAGTGAAAACAAATTTCTGAAATCTGCTTGGACTTTCAAAGTTCTGCATGCTAGTTCCTGGAAAAAACATAATAAACATGGGCTAGACTTGCTGTAAACTGGATAACAAACAAATCCAAAAACCTTCATATACCATTTTTTTTTCCTTCAAAACACACTATTGGTTTCTTAAGGGGATGAAACATAGATATAGCTATAAAAGCAAAGAGAAACATTAGAAATAAAATTTAACATTTAACCATGGCAACAGCTTAAATGAGCCAAATATGACATACTGCTGTTTAAAAGCAAAAGAGATGTTAGTTTTTTCCCTCTGATTTTCCAAAGAGAAAAAGGGGAAAAGGAAGTTGAAACCTGAAGCATCAGGACAGAAGACCTTAGTTGGTTTATAAAAATTTTAAATGACAAATGAAGGTCCAAGAGTTGAAAAAGCAGGAATGGGGCTACAATAATGTGAATTTTGACATGACCTTGGGGGTAGAAAAATTCATGATAAACCCCAAAACAAATAACAATCTTACCCAAAGCTCAGGGGCTTTAAAATGCTATTGTTCCTCTAGCGTAATCATTCTCTTCTATACTCAGTGAATCATTCACTTACATTTATACACAAGCCAGTAGTAATTACTGTTGTTTGTTTTGTAGAGGTTGTAACATGATTTTGTGTTGGTGTAGGTACCAGTGTACCTAATGTGTTCATGGAACCCTGCTCTGCAAAATATCCATGTGGATCACGTAATTAACGTTCTCACTTTAGAGCTCCTTGACATAAAAATCTATCCACAAACCTGAATTCCAGTTGCCTGACAGATACCTCTAAAGGACATTTCCTGATGCCTCCTGCTCACTATCTCTGCTTCTGACCTCACACTCAATGTTCACTGTTTTCGTTAATGGGAACATCAGTCACCTAGTGGCCAGGAGAGAAAATTTA